TGAATAATTTTGAAATCACGCAAGAAAAAGGGCTTGCTATACAATCTATTTTTCACAGGCTAATGAAATTATCGTTAATTAGCAAATATTTAAAAAAAAATAAACTATAAAAACTATTATTATGTTAAACTATTATGCTTATTAACTATTATTATTTTAAAAACTATTTAAATGCTATAGAACATCAGTGAAATTTGTGGCCTACTTTTAAACTTTGTCTTTTCGTTTGTTGTATGATCAATCAGAAAGTTATTTCTGCCAAATTAAATATTACAACATACAGTAGAATTTCAATCTATTGTTCATTTTCCTGCTTCTTTGACTAACTGCTAAAACATTTCAAATATTGATGAAGTAACGTGAGAAAACATTCAAGTAAAAAAATATTAATTTAACATAAATTTGCCTAATTTTTTGAGATAATCTAATAAAAATAATAATGTTTAAATTTATGAAAATATATTTCACTAACAGTTATTGAAGACAATTATTTTAATCAGTTACAACTAATAATCAGTAACCATTTTTATCATTTTCTAAAAATAAAAAACTCAAAGCAGTCAATGAATGTTGCATCACCCATAGAATTATAAATTAAACTGTTGTTAATTAATGAATAACAATCTGCTTATTGTGGTTTGAAAGCTGAGAATTCTTTGACTTTTTTTATGATCAGTGTGTATAAACTACATTGTAATAAATACGGAGGAAATATAGCATTCATAACTTTAAATGCTTAAAATGCAAGTTGGCATTATATGTTGATTTCAACACTTGACCACATTTTTTAATTATAAAGTTAATTGACTGTCATGCTTTTTTAAAAATTAGTAAACACATTAAATTCAAAATATGTCTACAAAGTGAAGGGGAAAAATTGTATTGTAATTTGTGGCCTATATTCTACAAAGGCGGATAATTTAGGATTTATTCATCTGTTCACTTGTTTTCTTAGATAGATAGAAGTATAAAAAAGTAGCACTGTAGCATTTTTCTCATTGGAAGAGTGTTGGTATTTCATTCCCAGGAGAAAGTAACGTAAATTTTTTGAATACATAATAACAACCCATCACTCATATTTGACAGCAAACAAGCAGTGTTGTGGGTTGTTATATTATGTAAAATTAGTGTTTTGCACTAATGAGAATAATCTGTCACTCAAATCTTATAGTAGATATTCAGTGTCGTGTATAATGAGACTCATGAAATTAACTATTGTCTGAGCGACCTTCACAGGTCGAAACAATTACAGATGGAATATGGACAACATGAGTTGTTTCATTGTGATTGGTGACAGACCGTGAACTGAGAAAATGTCTACTCGATGAGAAGTGAGGGAAGCTTATCTTCCCCATCTTTGACGGTTTTTGGTGAAGAAAGGAGAGAGTTCTTCGATGAGTCAACAAAATTTTCGTCTCACCTTTTTTTTGAAGTAACTGAATAGGCTGGAGTTTTCGCCTGTTTCCAAAATGAGCATCTTTTGATTTGGTGTATCTCGCAGTGTGATAATTAAGGTCTGTCGCAGACCACGCATTTTGAGAATCGACGTAGACTCGAGAAGTTTGAATATCTCCGACCTTGGAGTAAATTGTACTTGTGATTTAATCATGCACCACTTGTGATCAAAATTTATATTTTTAATTTTCATTTCTTTATATAATAACTCAGAGATTTGCATTTGTATATATAGTGCTTGTAAATAAAAATTAAAGTTTTTCCATGATCCTGAAAGTGACCCTCTTCTTGAAGCCATTATAGGTCTAGTATAGGCCGAGACGTGACAGCACTATTAAATGATTTATTTTTAAAATTTATTAAAAACCCCTTTCATCAGATAGCACTTGACGGTCTATAATACTCGCGGAGAAATTTTACAATTTTTAACACATGATCTACACACAATAGGATGGATATTATAGTAATTGTAACTCTTTGATTATAGGAACAATTGGAACAAAAATAATGATTGAACACAACCATTGTTGTTAGTTTTTTTTTTTTTTTATTTTAAACTAAGATGAAGTCAAAGGGTTAGAATAATTTATTTTAGATATTCAAAGTGTTCCATGGCTTCTTTATTAATATACTGTCCTTTCCAAGTGCCATACTCTTAGAAAAAAGTGAACAGTTATCCGATTTTACGAAGTAAAATAAACAGCTTTAATCGAGGGAATTTTTAAACTTTGGGTCAACGTTCGAAAATGTAATTGTCGAGATAGAAAAAAAAAAGGTTTAAAATAATATTTACGTTGAAGTTTTAAGTGTCTTTCTCCACTTTATAGAAAGTGGAAAATGTTGTATAAAAAAGTCAAACCAGGTGCTTAAGACAAAAAAAGATTTTTTTTAAATACATTTTTTTCTTTATTACCAACCTTTGACATTTGAATAGTGACAAGAAATAATTCAGCAAATGTATGTTTCTTTTCATCATAAGCACATGCATCTTGAAATATCAGTGAATTTATTATTTCAGAAACAAAGGATTAATTTATTAAAAATTATATACCCTTTGTTATTATCACCCGTGCTTTAAGTTATTAACATTAAAATTGGATTATGGCAATATTTTATGACAGCATTTTTCTTTGTACAAATGTATAAAAAATAATAATATGATTACAGACACGCAGAGGAAAAATCGGCAATGAAGGGGAAAGAAAAAAAACTTATATTGTAGATAGCTTAATTTCTGGCTTCTATTCGACAACGCCGGATAATGCCAGACTAATCTCTGTTTATTTGATTTCTTAGATAGATAAAAGTAAGGAAATAAATAACATTATTACGTGATTAATATTTAAAATTTAAAAAATTAAATTATTAAAATAATTAAAAAGAAACATCAGCCGATAACTTTCAACTGCCTATAATCCTCACGGATCAATTCTAAATCTGCATTAAATCTAGGATGGATATTACAGTAATTGTAACTCTCCTGATTGTTCTACTTGTACTATTCTGATTATTCCATTCCTTTACTGCTTTGATTGACAAAAAATTCAGCAGGAAAATAACAAATATCTTTATGCATGAAACAAAACAAAGACTTACATACAGAGATTTAAAAAAAAAAAATTTGCAATTTCATAAATTCTAAGATCATAATGAAATCATATTGAAGTGATTAATAAAAATATGTTTAAAGTCAAAAATAAATCAACATTAATAGGGTATGTGAGCCCCCCTCACCTGCATACAAGGTTTGTTGTTGTTGTGACTAATCCTCAATGTACTGCAGTGCGGGACGGGCATCCCATGAGTGATCTACTCATGGATGGAGGGAAAGGGGCAGCTTCTGTTGTGATGGAGCACACGTAGGTAAAAGTCTGACTCTTACAGTCGTATGAGTCAAGGATATCCATGAGCCCCACTCCCCAAAACAATACCCATATATTTTATAAATAAAAATGTTAATCAATAGATATTTAATTAAATAACCGACTTTAATTCGAATTTTTAATGATCGCCTTTTTTCCCTACAAATCTATATATATTAGTACTTAAAGGTTAGCCGCTCTACAGTCATTTTTTGCACCCTTTAGGCTAATTAGACCGGGATCTACTGTTTAACGTGGAATCCGAACCACTCACAAACATCCATGCCACCGCCAGGATTCGAACCTGAAGCCTGTGGTACCTAAGAACATCATCATCCTAATTGGCGGAACAGCCCAGTGTGGGCCAAGACCGTCTACATACTGGCAGATTTCGAGACGTTTTTCTTTTTTTTACGGGGTAGGGTTGTCAGCTCTACGCTCAACAGTCATAGGAGACCGGGACCTACGGCTTAAAGTGGATTCCGAACCATTACAAACATCCATTGCACCGCCGGGATTCGAACCCGACCCGTGGTCCGAGCGCCAAAGCACTAGTCACTCGACCATTCAGGTTCGCATACAAGGTTTACAGCATGTGAGTATGCTTTCCATGCGGTGATCAATCACTGCAGAGTCAAGTAATCGCCATTCCTCGTGTAGAGCAATTTTCAATTTTGTGAGAGTGGCTAATGTGAGAAATGTTTATACTCAGCAGGGCCAAGGGCATTCCAAAGATTTTCATTGGGATTAAGATGGTTAACCCGAAACCTGTGGTATCGAGCGTTAGCCATTCTGCCATCAGGTCTCCATATATTTTACACGCGTGGAGGTCGCTTCTTCGGATCCGCTTGGCTACAACGGCAATATATAAATCTTCCACGTGAGTCGTAACTTTTAGATGACTGGCCGCAGGTCTTCAGACAACTGTTTGGTTGGATATAAATTGTTTCTATTATCATGAAATCACAGAAACCGCAGAAAAGAACAGCATCTGTGATTGATTGTCCTACTTCAATGCATCCGACAGCATGCCAATGCTCAGAATCTTCCATATCTTTTCTGGAAGCAATAGAAACACCCCTGTCTTTAAACATACCAAAGTTCTAAACACTTTTTATCAGTACTTACATGCAAATGCTATTGTCCTTCACTATATTGACTTCTTGACAGCCTTTTTTGCATATTTCTATATACGAATCTGAGATTGGCAGTTACATAACATATTTGCATATTTCATTATATTTCCATCTAACTCGGCAGAGAATTGCAACCCCTTCAATTCAGATTGGCTTCCTGTAATTAACATTTGCCTCTACATGCTTAACTTTTGGCAACGAGTGTATTTTGACCTGAAGTCTTCCGTTACTAGAACATCAGAACTACATTTGTTGTTTGTTGTTGTTTCTTATCCCACTTGACTGGCCAAGCCCACGAGCCCATGCGTACTCATGATTGAAGGGGAAGGAAGCAGCTTCTGTTATGAGGGAGCACCTGTAGGTAGAGGTCTGACTTTGGTTCCGTGACGTTCTTACAGTCATAGGAGGCCGGGACCTACGGCTTAAAGTGGATTCCGAACCACTACAAACATCCATGGCACCACTGGGATTCGAACCCGAAACCTGTGGCACCGAGCGCCAAAGCGCTAGACACTCGGCCATTCAGGTCCCAAATGTGTGAATGGCAACGGCACGCGGTGTTCCCAGGTGGTCACCCACCCAAGTACTGACCATGACCAATGATGCTTGACTTCGGTGATCTAACGAGAACATTGGCATTATATAGCAGATATATAAAAGATTATAACAGCATTACCCAGGCTGCATTATGCAGAAGGGCTGCTGCAAAATACCCATCGCAAATTGGAACGAACACACCCAAAGAAGGCATCCTGATAGGTTTTCAGACTCTTTCCATCCTTCTTGAATTCGGTGGAGGAATTTATGGTGATGCTCCCTACATAGATACAGAAATTAATGGTTTCTGCATTGTTTGTTGTGTTTCGAATCAAGCTTCCATAGTTGGTAAGCTCAAGGTACTATCGATCTTAATATATCGAATATATAGTATTAATCACTATTTTGTATTTGGGAATATTATACTTTATAAAGTATAATTGGCATTAAGATAATTATGGTCGTTGATGAATGACGTCATGCAGAAACTGCTTACATTTAAATATTAAATATTTTAATAAACTTATTAACAATTACAACTTTTTACAACTTTTAAACAACTTTTAAACAAAAAGTTTATTAAAATATTTAATATTTAAATGTAAGCATTTTCTGCATGACGTCATATATGATATATATTATATTATTTCCAATGGCGGTGAGTACATTACATATAAAAAAATACAACGAAGAAGTAAAGACCGAAGTCATCGCCGCAAGAGCTCTCTGTCACGCCAATATCTTGCAATCTCGGAGTCAGTTCCATGGAGTGTCTTAGAACATTGTGGGAGTTTTGTATTCAAAGTCACTTTCAAGGCACAAAGACGACAGTGGGGATGGACATAAGTGTTCACTCAGACAGTCATGGGCTATTATAAGTTCGAAAAGATCTACTGCATTTCGGCGAGGCTTGTCTGGCATTGCATCTAGCTCTGTCTCACTCCAATACTTACTCTTTATTCTCTTCCGTAGCTCTGAATAGGTCCTCATTTTCTTAATGCTTTTTACGTATAGTTTTAGAGAATAGTACGACATTCCAGAATAATTTGGTTGAAACCATTTAGTGCCCTTTCGAGCAAGGAAATCAGCCTGCTTGTTACGGTAGATACCTCAGTGGCTAGGTATCCACTAGAGAACTATTCTGCTCTAAAAGTCCGATGAGCTCCCGGCAATTAAGTATCTCCTTTGTAAAAGTGCTCTCCAGTGAACTAATTGCTTGAATTGTAGCCTGGGAGTCGGACAATAATACGACTTTTTCAAACTTATAGTGGATGGACTTCAGTTGTTTCAGTGCAGTATACACTCAAGAGCCAAAACATTATGACCACCCCTACATTTTGCAATGAACTCGCCTGGATGATGTGGAAGGCACGTGATCAGGTGGAAGTGGTATTTAGTTGGTATTAAGTGGCGGTATTAATCCATGCCAAGGCTGGTTGAAGCTGTGTTGCGCGCCAAAGGTGGGCCAACTCGTTATTGACAGGTGGTCATAATGTTTTGGCTCTTGAGTGTATATACGAGTGTGTGTAATATATACGCAATATGTATACATTACACTTTATATATATATATACACTTTATATATATATAACACTTTATATACACTTTTATATACACTTTATATATTTCATTTATATTATTCATTTTCAGGATATATCTTTTCAAAGAATTTTCCACAATTTTACCTTCTAATGCATGGAACCTGATGACCGAGTGGCTAGCCCCTGCCCCCTCGGAACACAGGTTACGGGTTCGAATCCGGCGAGCATGGATGTTTATTGTGGTTCGGAATCCACTTTAAATCGTAGGTCCCAGTCTAACAGGATCGTAGAGAGTTACGGATGTATTGTTAGTCCACGTCCATAGCTTATCTTCACGTTACACGTGACTTCTGGGTAGTGCTAAGTGAGTAACGTCGGTGTAGCACTTATCTTAGGGCCTCGAAGTCAACTGTCTAAGTGTTTTCCAGCTGCATTAGAAAAAAAAAACCCTTCTAATATATCAAAGGATTGGATGTTATTTTTTGTCTCCCCCCAATTCGACCACATATCCCATATAATCCTGTCTTTATTTTTCAGTTCAAAAAAAAAAAAAAAAATAATAATAAAATAAATAAATAAAAAAACCTTCATTTTTAATCAATATATTTTTTTGCAATTTTGATTACTGGAAAGACCGTTAATTTTAAAATTTCTATACAATTTAGAATTACATTGTGTTTAAAACAGTAGAGCAACACAAAAAAGCTTTTTCTCTCAAAGAAAATGCAGAACACTTTGTTTTTTTCTTAAATAAATCAAAGAGGAAAAAGTATTGTGGCTTCCAAATAAAAAAAATAAAAAAATAAAAAAAAATAAGACATTGAAGAAAATAAAAAGAACAGAATCAATGTTTTTTATAGCAGTGCAATATATAAAACATAGATTTCAAATGAATTCAATGCAATTATTTTTTTAAACTATCGCTTACGCGTTTTCTTTTATTTCTCTTTCTCCTATTATGAACCGTCTTCGTTAAGCTCTAAATACTTCCTGTTCTTTTTCTTGCTTGCATCTTTTAATTGTGTACTTATCTCTTTACTATCCTGTTATTTCCTTCTTCGAGCAGCCTTTCGTTTTTGTTTTCTGCACTTAATCAATGCTAATTAAGTTTAGAATTATTTTAATGAGCACTTTTTTAGAAGTCTTATCTGGTGTAACTAACTGTTCAAAAAATACTTAAATCTTTATGTGATCTTAGCATGCGTAAAGTAATTTTTTCCAATTACTTGAAAACCGCGCTTTAATAAATTCGAAGGATGTTGTTTTCGAATACCGGATACTTTGACCTGAGATCGCCTCTATAATGGCAGATACTACTGTGTCCAAAAAGTAAGACCAATTTTCAATTTAAAATTCCCAGGGCTTATGGAATTTAAATTTTTTTTTCTTTTTTAGGTTGCTGGCACTATCCTTGACATCTGTGTGAAATTTGACGTCGAAATATTCATTAGTGTTTGAGTTACGCTTGGCTTTGTGAGATGCTGAAACTGATTACGGCGATTTTCGAAATGTCTGAAATAATTGAGCAAAGAACTTGCATTCAATTTTGTTTGCGGAAACTTACAGAATGTTGCAGAAAGCATTCGGTGAGCATTTTTACATCGGAAAGAAATGTTTAGAAGTGGTATAAACAGTTCAAACAAGGCAGAGAATGCGTTGAAGACGAAGAGCCCTCTGGTCGACCCTCAACCACGACCGGCGAATCTCACGACCAAAAAATTAAAGATTTGGTGCTTGCGAACCATCGATTCACAAGTAGAGACCTTGATGATGATGTTGAAATTTCAAAAGGATCTGTCAATTCCATTTTTGCCTCAAACGCGGCAAATCTTGATTAATACCGAAAACACCGAATGCGCCAGCTCACACTGCATTGATTCTTAGTGACGTTTTCGCCAAAAATGAAACCCATATCGTTCCACAACCACCGTATTCACACAGTGCGACTTCTGGCTATTCCCTAAACTCAAAAGACCACTCGGGGACACCTTTTTGAGTCGATTGAAGACATTGAACGTGAATCGCCGCGCGCTTTGAAGGCCATGCCTGCCGATGACTTTTTAGCATACATTTAGGATTGGAAGAAAAAAAATTGGCATAAGTGCATTGTGTCCGGAGGGGTTTACTTTGAAGACGATGAAATAAATTTGGAAGAATAAATAATGAGTTTTTGAAAAAAACAAAAATTGAGTCGGTCTTACTTTTTGGACACAGTAGCATGTAGCAGATCCAGTGTTTTTCTTGGTTTGGTTTGTCGCTCTACTGTCATTTTTTTTTTTTGCACACTTTAGACTAATTAGACCGGGACTAACAATCATACATGCCACTGCCAGCATTCGAACTTGAAACCTGTGATACCAAAAGCCAGAGCGCTAGCCAATTGGCCATCAGGCCGCAGTGCTTTTCCAAGGTGCACTACGGGAGCCTGCCACACTACACTTATATTTTGCAATTACAGATATGAAGGAACACTTCCATTGATGGAATACGGGAGGTTCTCACCCTGCTTCTTTTCTCGAATCTAATGTAGTGCTTTATACCACCATCATCATCATCAGTGGCGCAACAGCCCCATGATGGGACAAGGCCGTCTGCCTACTGGCAAATTACGAGACGAGAGATGTTTTTCTTTTTACGGGGTAAGATTGTCAACCCTACGTCCAACGCTGAACAGTCATATTAGACCGGGACCTACAGCTTAAAGTGGATTACGAACCACTACAAACATTCAGAGCACCGCCGGAACTCGAACCCGTAACTTGTGGCACCGAGCGCTAGTCACTCGGCCATCAGGTCCCAAAATACATTAATGACATCGCCAAGTTTCGAAGCTGGAGCCTGTGATACCAAATTCCAGAGTTCTAACCAATTAGCCTGTAAGACGCAGTGTATTTTATGGGGCACTGCTAGAGTTTGCTATACTACACTTACATTTTGCCATTACAAATATGAATGAACACTACAGGGATAGAATTCGAGAGATTCACAACCTCCTTCTTTTCTCCTCGAATCCAAATATAGTACTTTATACCCTAACAGATAGATCAAGTCCAACCCCGACATATCCGGCAGTGCCATGGATGTTTGTAGTGGTTCGGAATCCACTTTAAGCCGTAGGTCCCGGTCTCATATGACTGTAAGAGCGTCACGAAGCAAAAGTCGGACTTCTAGCTACGGGTGCTCCATCACAACAGAAGCTGCCCCTTTTCCTCCATCCATGAGTAGATCACTCATGGGATGTCCGTCCCACGCTGCAGGACATTGAGGATTAGTCACAATGTTTAATGTTTCAAGTTTCGAACCATTTCTCATAGTACTGTAGGTATGTAAATGCTATTTTACGGCGTAAGAGTTGTATTTTAAATGACGATGTATTATCGAGTTCGTATGCATCAGATAATCTTATATCTAATGATACATTTGATCTAAGCATGGCTTTGCTAATTTCTTCTGGGTTTTACTGATTTCCAGGAAATCTTATTTCGTACATTGTTACTGTATATTTTGTATAAATATTTATGTTTCTTTTTAAATCTGCCTATGCAGTTCTTCAT